AATACATTAAAGTAATCATTTATTTGATAACATATGTACAGAATTTTTTTTTCTTTTTTTTTACACAATATTTTTACTTTTCTTCTTTCTAAAATACTAGAGATAAGAGAGAAACAGAAGAGAAAAAAGATAAAACCTTTTTTTCAATTTTCTTTTACTTCTCTTTTTCCTAGTCCTTTCACCAACTCTCTCGCTGATCTTTTTATGTAATTCTTCTCTTCTCTCCTTTTCGTTTATATCTCTCTCTCACATTCCTTTACCCTTTTCTACTTAATTCCTTCATATATCTCTTCCTTTTCCCTCCTTCTATCCTTCTCTTTCTTCTCTTTTTGGTATCCCTCTTACTTCTATCTCCCTGCATCTTTCACTTCCCAATTCCCTCATTTTTCTGATCTCTCTCCGCATTTCTCCCTCCTCTTTAGAGCGCAGCTGCAATCACGGCCAAGATCAGGGAGATACCAACAACTGCATAGCCTGTCTGGTAGAGGGTGCGGAGGGTAAATCCGTAGCCGAGGTCCCACACCTAAAACAAGACCAGAAGTTTAGAGAAAATGATGACAAGGTTAAATGTACCATAATCTGGATGTGTATTGGATGTCCAGAAACAGGAGATTAGGAACAGGGACAAGTTATCAAAATAAGAATATAGATAACGGTGATTGGTGATGTCATGTATAAAGATGGCAATGATAATAATATTCATAATAAAAACAACAGCAACAAGAATAATACTGTCAATAAAACTATAAGATCATATATAAAAATACAAATAACTATGATAATAATAATAATAATAATTACAACATTAAAACAACAATTTTATCATTTATAATAAAATTGACAATATTAATAACAACAATAACAAATAATATACAATTAAAATAATAACAATAAAAATATGAAAGAATAAATAAAGAGTGATTTATATTGATTGAAGAAAAGTTAAATGAAGAATAAACCTTTTTTTTTGTAGATAATACACTTTTTGAACTTCCATTTGTATGCTTTTTCTCAGATTGTACTTTCTTAATCATGAAAATGGGACTGATTATATCATAAGCAGAGACATAGCCAGTGCCATTCCACTTTTTCTATTTTGATCTTGCATTTCTGTTGTAACTCTTCCAATATTGAGCATTTTTAAAAAGACTATTTTTTTAATAATCATCTTTCATGACCAACAAATCAAAATACTAAAAGTAGAAGAACATTCAAATACTGTCCTTCTGGATAAATGGAGACCAGTCTTTATCTTCATCTATCCAAAATTCTGTTCTGACAAAGACAATACAAGAAAAAAATAAAAATAAAAAATAAAAAAGATAAAAAATTTGCATATAAGAGTGAACAGACTGATTTACTTACCAGATGCCTCACACCATTACAGAGGTGATATGTGAAGGGGAGAGCCAGGACAAACTTGGCCCCAAAGATGATCACAGGGCCGAAGGCCAAGGACTGAACCAGTTCCAGGTAATGTGGGTATGACCCGGGGACAGCCAGCATGCCTGTGCAAAGAGTGGGAGAGTTACTTCACTCACTTGTCTACATAAACTTGTCAATATGTCTCTCTCTCTTCCTCTCTCATCCATTCATTGGATCCAGGTAATGGGGACATCTAGGTATGAAAAAATGTGGCCGAGGGGCAGTTGACAGGAATGTCTTGTTTTGTGATGTTACTGAGTAGTGGGGGATAGGGACATCTTGACATGAGGACACAAAACTCTTGGAGACAGATTAGACTCTGTGGATATTTAGGAAGGGGAACTTGCATTTTTTCCCACCAGAATAAGTGAGTGGAATGTACTATTTGACAGCCATGTGTGGAAGAGGACCAGCTGCTGGGAAAACACTATTTCTATGTACCTATTCCTGCCCGCCTTGACCAGTGGTGCTGGTTGTGTTACAAAAAATTACATCATAATCTATTTTTATTACACAAATGTTACTTATTGTTATGGTTATTGCACAAAGTTGAAGACTATCTGGAGAAATAATATGGAGTCTGGATCTGGATACACCACACATGAGTGTTTGTGTAGGCCGAGCCTATAAATCACAGTCAGGAGAGCCACCACTCGGGTAAGCCTAATGCAAGGATTTTGGTCAATGTGCAAGATGCATGGCATACAGATCCAACAGGTCAATACCCTTGGGCTCCTCACTCTAATCCATCTTCCATCTCTCACCCTCCTCCATTACCTTTACCTCACTTCTCCTCCAGCCCTTTCATTCTCTTTCTTTCACCCTCATCATCTTTAACTTTACTCCTCACACACCCTTCCTCCTCATTCCTTTTCACTCCTTTCATCATCCTTACCAATGCTAAAGCCGGAAATCAAAGCAGACAATGCAAGGCCAGTTGCTCTGTGACTCAGCGACAACAGCGAAGTAACCTGTGGGAGATGACAATAATTATAATTAAATAAGGGAAATTATAAGCAGAAAAACAAAATAGTACAGGAGAGAACCAAACAGTCTCTTCTGTTTCTGCTCCATTTGACTACTTATCAAATTCACTCTACTGAAATTATGCAATATAGAAATGGCTGGAAATCTCACTTCTTTACATACTCCTTTTTTTATTTTCCCAGTGGTGATTAATCTAATTCTGTTTTGAGTAAAGGCTGTTTCCGACATAAAGAGTCTGCAGCACCAAATGAGGCACATCATTTGTTGCAATTTTCATAGTAGTAGTTCAGCTAACAAGGGCGTTAGAGAGATGGGGCCCAAACAAACAAACATAAAAAAGAGATTGGGTGTCAAGGGATGGAGAAGTGTGCTAGTGGACTAGCATCTAACAAATATCAACAACTATAATCCCCTGAACACAGACATAAACAAACAAATCACAGTTAGATGTAAAGTAAGCACAGAGAGAAGAGAAGTCAACAAAAAAGGGAAAAGAAGAAAAAAGAGAAAAAAGAGAGAAAAGAGAGAAAAAGAGAAAAGAGAAAAAAAAAAAGAAAAGAAAAGAGAAAAGAGAAAAGAGAAACAAGAAGATAAAAGACTAACAACCTACCTGTGGCTTGTAGATGGTGAGATGGGGTGACACAGGCCTGTTGAGACGGCGATTCTTGGCCCAGAAGTCCTCTTTGCGAGAGAGGGTAAAGGAAGGAGTCGAGGAGGAGGAGGCCGAGGAAGAGGAAGAGGAAGTAAAGGAAACCTTAGATGCTGACAGGGTAGGAAGGAGGAACTGGGGTTGCAGGAGGGAAGAAGGGGTTATGGAGCTGCTGCTGTGTGAGGAAGAGGAAAGAGGAAGGGGTGGACAAGGTGGAGGGGGGAAGAAGAGAAGGAAAGGAGAGAAAGGACAGAAAAAGGAGGAGGGGGAAAGAAGAGAAGGGGAGAAAGACAAAATAGGTGGAGGTGGGGATAGAAGGGGGGAGAGGAAGCAGAGGATAAAAGGGATTGTGGGGGGAGATGGAGAGAAGGGAAATTAAAGTGATTAGTAATCTTGCTAATAAAAATGCCAAGAATTGATATTTTAGAACCTTGATCTACATTTCCTCTTGACACTGTCCCATTAATGCCTTGATCTTCACTTCTTTGCCAACAAATCTCAACCACATCACAGGTATGTCAATGAAACCAGATTCTGATAAAACTACAACTAATAAGTAATAACAACAATAATAATAATACTTATAGTGATTATATTACATAGTAAAAAGAATATAATACAATAATATCTATATTATAATAGTAGAAAAAAAATAATAAAAATAATAAAAATAATTATTATTATTATCATCATCATCATAATAATAACAACAATATTGATGAAAATAACAATAACAGCATCAGAAACAACAATAACAGCGGCAATGATAATGACAAATAATAAATTCAACCACATGTACAAATAACTTTAATTCCAATCTGAGAATAGCGATGACAGTGATAAGGATAAAAGCTTATGACATCACTGTCAGCAACAAAAACAACAATGATGCCAAGGATAATAAGATAGACAGACATAACAATCACAACCTTAGATTAGAAGCAAGTATAGCTGAAGAAAAACAATTTGAGAGAACTGAGAAGACCAATGAGAATGAGAATAAGACAAAATTATGCTCTACCACAACAACAAAACAAAAAACTCAGGAAGTCCTTTGTTACATTTTATCTTTTTGAGCTAATTTGTGGTGTAACATTAGATAACAAATATCCAAACCTTTCATCATGCCTTTCTGTCTGCCAATGTCTGTCTGTCTCTCCATGCAGCTATACCTATATGTATTTTACGGTTATTCGTCCATGCATATGCATGTATGCATGCATGCATGTATGTGTATACGTGTGCATGTGTATATATGTATATATGTATGTATGTATGCATGTATGTATGTATGTATGTGTTTGTTTATGCATATATGTATGCATTATGCATGTGTTTGTTTATGAATGTATGTATGCTTATATATGTATGTACATATGCTTATATATGTATGTATATATGCTTATATATGTATGTATATATGCTTATATATGTATGTATATATGCTTATGTATGTATGTATATATGCTTATGTATGTATGTGTGTGTGTGTGTATGTGTATATGTGTATATGTGTATGTGTATATGTGTATATGTTTATGTGTGTGTACGTGTGTGCATATATGTGTGCTTATTAGTGTGCATATGTGAGTGAGTGAGTGAGTGAGTGAGTGAGTGAGTGAGTGAGTGAGTGGATGGATGGATGCATGGATGAGTGAGTGAGTGAGTGAGTGAGTGAGTGATGAGTGAGTGAGTGAGTGATGGATGCATGGATGTGTGTGTGTATATGCATGCATGGATGTGTGTGTGTATATGCATGCATGGTGTGTGTGTGTGTATATGCATGCATGGATGTGTGTGTGTGTGTATGCATGCATGGATGTGTGTGTGTGTGTATGCATGTATGCCTGCATGCATGTATGTATGCCTGCATGTATGCCTGCATGCATGTATGCCTGCATGCATGTATATATGTATGCATGTATGTGTATACATGTATGCACATGTATGTGTGTATGTATATGTGTATGTATGTATGTATATATGTATGTATATATGTATGTATATATGTATGTATGTATGTATGTATATATGTATGTATATATGTATGTATATATATATGTATATATGTATGTATATGTATGATATATGCATGCACATGTATGTGTGTGTGTGCACATGTTTATGTGTGCACATGTGTGCTTGTGTGTGTGCATATGTAAATGTGTATGTGTGTGTATGTGTGTGTGCATGTGTGTATGTGTGTGTGTGTATGCATGTGTGTGCATATGTGTGTGTATGAGTGTGCATATATGAGCATGTGTGCATACACATACATGTGCATATGTGTAAATGTGTGCATGCACGTACATTTGTATATGCGTGTGTGTGCATGTGCGTGTGTGTGCACGTGCGTGTGTGTACATGTGCGTGTGTGTATGTGTGTATGTGTGTGCATGTGTGTGTGTGTGTGTGTGTGTGTGTGTGTGTGTGTGTGTGTGTGTGTGCATGGTTGTGTGTATGTATGCATGTGCATGGTTGTGTGTGTGTGTGCATGTGCGTGGTTGTGTGTGTGTGTGCATGTGCGTGGTTGTGTGTGTGTGTGTATGTGCGTGGTTGTGTGTGTGTGCATGTGCGTGGTTTGTGTGTGTGTGTGCATGTGCGTGGTTGTGTGTGTGTATGCATGTGCGTGGTTGTGTGTGTGTATGCATGTGCGTGGTTGTGTGTGTGTGTGCATGTGCGTGGTTGTGTGTGTGTGTGCAGGTGCATGTGTGTATACAGATGCACCTATGTGCCCATGCCTGTGTGCCTATGTATGTGCGCGTGTTTGTGCACATGTGCGTTTGTGTATCAGTGTGTGTGTGTTTACATGTGTGTATACATGTACATGTGCGCGCAACAAGGAACAACGAAGGGAAGAACAAGAAAAAACACAAATTAACCGAAGTGTGTTCGTGTGTTTTCTTGTTCTTCCCTTTATTGTTCTTGTTGCAATTTGTTTGGCATGAATTCCACATATGTGTATGTGTGCGTGTGTGTGTGTGTGGGGGGGGTGTCTTGTATTCGTGCATGGACATAAATTTGTGAGCGTGGGTGTGAGCGTGGGTGTGAGCATGGGTGTGGGCACGCGTGTAGGAGTGTCTGAGGGTTTATGGGTGGGTATACAAGCGTGCATGTAATATCTAGAGCGGGACAGGGAAAGCTGTGTTCTGGAACACAATTTTTCTCAAAACCCTTCTTATACAGGGACCCTCAAGTTTGCATATAATTATAGCCATTAGTCTCTGACTGGCACAGTCCTGTTGTTAATCTTTAGCCTACTTTTTTCGTCAACCACCCGAGTCTGGGCCAAAAAAATGCACAACTGTCTAGCGCTAACAAGCAAGCTTAAACACAAAGGACATGCGAGGAAGTCACCCCTGCATGATTTATTTATCATCTTTTTTGACCTGGAAGTCCCATAACTCTACTTATTACAAATTTAATAATTTTCTATGAAAACTTTGGTATACATTTCCATCCAAAACCTGATCTCCGGATTACTACCAGTGCCCCAACCTTGTTTGTTGAAGTAATTGGGACTTAGCGTCTGGAGGATATGGCTCTAGGTCTATGAATTACCATCAAAAATGTTAAAAATGGAAAGCACAAAAATGTTGCACAAACAACCATCGATTACTGATGTCGGCATTTTGCCATAAATCTATAATAGCAAACAATCAACAAATCAACAAATATATAGGCACAATTACGCGGTGATGAATATTACTGCTTGTACATTTTGCAATATGCGTAAAATAAGATAATGACATTATATAAACCATAAACATGTATTATTCTTCTCGCGTAAATCCTTACCTGAAAGCAGTTCCATTGCTGAAGCCTCTTCGGACGCTTAATCTGCGGATAAATTGGAGCCGTTACACACAGTAATCGTATTGTTACACATTAGAGACACTATATTAGCCAAAAAAGAGCTTATATGCAAGGAAATGGAGAAAATAAGGAGAGCGGAACTTGTTTACGTCTCACCGGAATAGGAGAGCCATCGTGCTAACGAAAAACTAAAGTTTTTCCCAAAATATCACATTTTTCATTATAAAAGTTTGCCTTATTTTTGCAATTATAACAGTAACATAATTGCTAATATACATAGAAAATTCATACCGAAAGGAGATATACATTTTTAGTTCCTTAATTTTATTTTATTTTATATCCTCGCATGATTTTGTGAAAGGAGATCCGCGGGTCCAAATATATTTGCTTCCCATGAAAAAACGTACTAACACAGAATTGGAAATTATTATAAAAATATATGCACTTTTGAAGAAAAATTATCAACCCAACATAAACAAGATATATCTCATACGCCAATAGGACCTAAATGAGACAAAAGTCCGTGACACTGATAATTATCAAAATGATAATGATATAAAAGTAGTAGTGATAATCTTACGGATAATACTAATGTTAATATATTGATGACAATAACAATATTCATAATAATAATCACAATGATGATATTAATGATAATGATGATAATAATAGTAATAAGATTATAATGATAATGATGATAATGATAATGATAACAATAACAATGATAATAATAACACCAACATCAACAACAAAAACAATAATAATAAAAATAATAACAATAATAATAAAATGAATAATAATAAATAATAACAACAACAATGATAATAATAACAATAATAATAGTAATAATAATAACAATAATTATAATAGTAATGATAATAATAATAATAACAATAATAATAGTAACAATAATAACAATGATTATAATGGTAATGATGATGATAATAATAATAAGAAGAAAAGATAGTAATAACAATGATATTAATGATAACAACAATAATAATAATGATAACAATGGCAATGATGAAAATGAAAATCACAATGATAATGATAATAATAGAGATGATAAAGATGATGACAATGATAATGATAGTAATAATTATGATAAAGATGATGATAATGATAATGATAGTAATAATTATGATAATGATAATAGTAATGATAAAAACAATAAGAATTATAATAATATCAATGATAATAATAGTGATAATAACGGCAATGATGGTAATAGTAACAGTAATAATAATGACAATAACAACAACAGTAATGATATTGATAATAATAATACTAATAAAAATAATAATAATAATGATAATGATAATAACAATAATGATAGTAATAGTAAAAATGATAATTATAATAATAATAGCAGTAATAATAACTAGAAGCACTGAGAGAGCGCATATCTACGTCAAGGCAATAGGGTCACTGATGTAATAAAAAAAAATAAAAAAAAAACAAGAATTGCATTAAAATTACCTCTTTCCCAAGTCCATAAGTGACGTCCTTGTTCTCCTATCTCGCAATGCTAATGAATCTCTTTAAAAAATCCTGGATCCGGATCAGGGCAGAGCTACTGTTCAAAGTCATTGTGGGGCAACGCTGGGCAATATCAAGATTACAGACCTTGACTTTGCTGATGACGTTGCCATTCTATCTGAGTCTTTGAAACCCTAGTAGCGGCTCTCGATGCATTTAGCAATGAAGCGAAGCCCCTGGGTCTAGAGGTCTCCTGGACCAAGACCAAGGTCCAGGAATTTGGAGACTTGATAGGAGAACCTGTTCAGTCGGTACGTGCTTGCGGCGAGGACATTGAAGTCACAGAGAGCTTTACATACTTGGTAGTGTAGTTCATAACTCTGGGCTGTCAGACCATGAAGTCAGCAGACGGATTGGCCTGGCAGCAGGGGCCATGAACTCTCTCAACAAGAGTATTTGGAGATGTCGGTCGTACCTGTGCAGAAGGACCAAGCTTCGGGTTTTCAAGGCCCTGATAATGCCAGTTTTGCTATACGGTAGCGAAACCTGGACATTGTCCTGTGCCTTGGAGGCTCGTCTTGAAGCCTTTTGCAATAGGTCTTTGCGCCAGATCATGGGGTACTGTTGGCGGGACTATGTGTCCAACCAACGGTTGCACCGTGAGACCGGCACAAGCCCTGTTATCTGCACAATCCGTGATCGCCAACTCAGGCTATATGGCCACCTGGCTCGCTTTCCTCAGGATGATCCTGCCCATCAAGTCGTCTCTATTCGAGACAACCCTGGGTGGAGGAGGCTTTGAGACGGCCGAGGAAGTCATGGCTTGGGCAGATCGACCAAACCTGCCGTGAAGAACTAGAGATGGGCCGAGTCCTGCTGGCGCCTAGCCATGAGGGATCCTCGTAGGTGGAAGCGAAGGGTGGATGCGGCTATGCGCCCCCGTCGGCGTCAGCCCCCATGATGATGATGATGATGATGATCAGGGTCCGGATCAACAACATTTAATGGCTTCTAAGTTGGGCTAAGATAAACCTTTGGTAGAAATTTAACAAAAGATTGTTTATAACTCTTTGAGTTATCCTGCTAACCAACAAACGCTGCGAAAAACAACTTCATTGGCGGAGGTAATAATGTTAATGATGACAATAAAGAAAACATTAATAATAAATGAAGTGGTATCACACACACACACACACACACACACACACACACACACACACACACACACACACACACACACACACACACACACACACACGAACGAACGAGAGGCAATTCGCTTCGGAAATCTCGTACTCCCTACCTGGAAATCCGAAGAAAAAAATCAAAAACCCTTAAGAATTCTTAGGAAATCCAGAAACCCAAGAATTTTAAAATCTCGCAAATGCTCCATTCGCAGCAATCTTTAAGAAAATCCCGGTAATAGTATTATTTGAAATCGGCAAAAACTGTGATAAAACTTTGACAAATGCCTGAGCAGTTGAAATGGAGAGTGCTAAGTTGAGGCTTCGACCCTGAGTGTCACACACACACACACACACACACACACACACACACACACACACCACACACACACACACACACACACACACACACACACACACACACACACACACACACACACACACAAACACACTGAATGTTAACCACACAAAAGTAAAAAGAAACAGTAGAAAACGGAAAATTTGAAGTAATGAATTCTAGCACAAGGCAGATTAATATTCAATATAACAATATAGAAAACGACTATATGTATTAACTGAAAGGAACATGAGCAGAAATCCCACCATTGAAAATGGCTTTATATAGGGGATCCTCAGGAATCTCGATGATCAATAGACTTTATAAGTTTTAGATTGTTAAAGATACACATTTACTGATGAATAATACAAAAATAAGAGCATTCTAATTTAGGTCTATATAAGTTTATAGTTTTGATCTCTTACGTCAACGTATCCTTCAAGTGTAAACATTGAACAGCTGATCGGAACCACTCAAAACGGTATGTGAAATTGAATTTTTACCTTATATTGCAACAGGCTTTGTCAAATACGAATTAAGAGTTGTTAGTTTTATAAGTAGTGAGCAATGCTGTTTTTCACGTGCAAAAATGTTTTGGATAGATTGTACTAAACTGCCGTATCGTCGAAAATTACAAATAATGAACGGGCGAGTTTCCAATAATTCGACTTTTAAGGACTGGCATATTTTGAGATGAATATTGTTGTGAATTAGCGCAAACCATGAAAAAGTGTGTCATTGCAGCTGGAAAAAGATCGGGACTTGGGAGGGCGAGAAACGGTCTGGAGTATTTTATGTGTGCAGGGAATATTAAATTTTTTTCATGCGTGGAAAATATCATGGTAATTTTCTATCATACGTCCACTGCTCTACATGTTTTATACAGAGTCATCAACTCAATGCCAATCTATATACCTGACTTAAAAGATTGTAATTTGCAAAATGTTTTAACAAGTAATACTTCAAAGCACTGACTTTTCATGAAGATGGTTTTCTGTTAATTACAAGGCCTGTGAAGTGTAGGCATGATTGAATGCTTTGTTGTGGATGCAAGGAGAAGAGGGATGTGTGTTGCTGCCATGCTTGTTATATTCTGTTGATTAGAATTGTGCTCTAAAATGTCACCTTACTGTTTATTGAAAGTGTAACGTAAAACCAGATCTGAGAATGATCAAAGGTATATGACAATGCAGAATACGAAAGGGAGATAATAAACATTACTTTTGGGGGACATTCTCTTCCCATTTGGGTAATTTCGAAATGGATGATGAAAATCAGTTCCAATTCAGTAGTGATTATTCTGGCCTAATTATGTTTTTATAATGATGATGTATTAATCTTGGCTAATTATTAGAATTTCTTATATTTAGAATGAATAAGGAGTCTTCACCATAAGTTTATAATACTATAGGAATTGAAAATAACATGGAGCAAGGTACACATCTTATATTTCTGTACTTCAAGAAAGTTTTTCTTTCAGCACCAGAGCTTGCTACAATGCAGTTTGCAAGCGCTGTGCATGTATCCGAGGCTTGGTGGGCGGAGGCATGTAAGAAAGTGAAAAATGCTGTTGTGTTTGTCGATAACGCATCAGCAGAATGTCTCCATTGGAATGGGGGTCTTGCCCGCTTAGTTGATGCTGGTGCCAAGAATGTTAAAGAATTTTCATCTTTTGAGGTAAGGTCTATTTGTATGCCTGTATATAAGTAATATAATTTTGTATCATATGTGGTCTAATAGTGATTATTCCATCATATAATATTAATTGAATATCTAATATTTTGCTGGCACTCAACACCTCATTTTATTCTACAGTGTGGTAACAAAGGCGATGTGAAAGCAGTTTTTATGCTGGGAACTGCTGTTGTGGACATAACAGCAAAGATCCTCCAGGACATCATCCATTCCTCAAACTTCGAGTACTGTGTTGTTATCACAGCAGGACACCCTAATGTCCATGCGTATGCCAGATATGGGGGAAGAGAGACTGATGAAGGAGTTTTGATGAATCAGCTTGAACAGACCATCTTAGGATGGATGGGAAATATGGTATTTAAATGAATATTTTGTATGTGTAGCACTGGATTCTTAGTAATATTACCACCATTATGGTACATGGTGTAAATGGAACATTAGAGCCCAGGCTTCACCTTTAGTTAGGGTCAATAGTCGGAGGTGGTGAAACTCA